CTTCTCCTGTTCTGACGTGTTACCCCCACTTTGGTTGATTTCAGCCGAGGAGAAGGCCCTTTACGACTTGGGTCATAAAGGCCCATCACCCGACACAATAAGCTTTCGTCTACCCTTTGTTATGTACTAATAGAGGTCGGGAGCACGACTTGCTCTCAGAGCAGAGGTTGCCCATCCCTGCTATAAATGCACTCGTCGCTGTAATTCCCTCTCTCCACAACAATGGTGAGCTCATTTGTTGAATAGATTCACGGGTTTTAATTAAGTTTTATGGTCAATAATAACAGAGAGCATCAACGCTGAAACCCAAACAAATTAATCAGTCGTAAAAGTAAAAACCAGTTGTATGATTTTCATTAATATTTTTTTGAGCGAGTTTTAATAGAGCACACCTGTTGGGATATTATATCGAGTTACGGGGCAACTTTTTTAATAGTTTATGAAAAAAAATATCATGAAGAGGGGCGACGGGGGAGGGTGAAATTAAAAATATGGTGGGATTATGTACTTCATAGTGGCAGTTATTCGTGTGACACGTGCGACCCTGGCCGCATCACTGAACTTGCACTCAGCGTCACCTTCTCCCCTCTCTTGCCACTTGATTCTTTGGCACAACCAACTGACAATTCCATCGACCTTGATCAACACCAACTCTATCATAAATTCCTCGTGGATCAACTGAAAATTCAATAATAATCGTAAATTCCAACTCACCATTTACGAAAATAGAAAGCACTCTGGTTACCCCTCACTTGTATTTTTATGAGACGAACTCTTCAGGGTGCACTTAAGACCAGTTGGTTCTTCTCTCTATCAATCATAATGACTTTTCTCGGGGACGTCTCTTCAGGAATATTCTTGTGTTGCAGTTTCAAATGTTGGGAAGATGACGACCAATGCGATTAAAGGAATACGGAGAAAGAAGAGTTCACTGTGTGAAGTCAAAGTCGCTGTTATTGGAGCACCTGGAGTTGGAAAGAGTGGTAAACACCTTTTTCTTGATAACACGTTGGTTTTTTTTCTTGACAAATGACAATTCAAGCGTAACAAACGATAAGGATTAACATTGATGCATAAATAAGAGAATTTAAATGTCAAGTTTAGTGATCACTCCGTCATCACTTGACATTGAAATTTTTTTCACTTAATGCAAGTGGCAGGAGTGCGTCAAAGGTCAACAATTTACCGATATTATTACCTATCGCAGCCTCTGACTTCTCACAACGAAAGATCGAATGGTTAATGGTTTAATTAATTCAATGAAAAATAATTACCCAATCCCTCTCGAGTCAAAATGAGGAACAATTAATTTCTCACTTTATTATCACCATCAGCACAATTGACCTAAAAATAGAGGATATCACACGCCTCAGAAAGCCCACAGTAAACCCATAATTAGCCAACCTCAGAATTATTTCTGACCGTTGATAACAAATAATCGAAGGTCTACAGCACAGGCGACTAAATAAAAAATATAAATTCCCCTCATTCTCGCCATCCTCCCTCTTTTACTTTATGTTACGAGTCGAGGGAATAATGTGAAAGCGATAACTCATCCTGGAGGTCGGGGTTGAGAGGTAGAAAGGGTGTCTCTGAATTATAGAGATGTGATTCTTGCCGAGGTCGGCACAATGGATGAGAAAGTGCCGACGCGTCTTACAACCAATCTAGCATTTCAGTTCGTTACAGTAATAATAGTTTATCCGGTATGTGCCGGAAATTAGTGTAAATTAAACGACAGACATTTCGAAAAGTCCTTGGCACCACCAACGACAGCTCAACACCCAACAAACACTATTCATATTTTGTCTAATGTCACAGGCATTTCGCCGAGTCCTAACGTTTGATCTTAATTAATAATATTTATCCTATAAGTATAATTTAAGAGTAGATGAGTAACGATGACGGAAGATAACGGAATTAAGTGTGAAACTTTTATCAACATTAATGGTGAAGGGGGAGAGGGCGGAAAGGGCGGAAAGGGGCGGTCAAAGGGGGGGAGTGTGAGGTGTATAAAAATTACGGGTGACAAGAATGCATTGTCCCAGAGGGGGTGAATTTTTCTCACACACGTTAATTTCGTTCTATCTCTCTCTGGGCTCCATTAAGCTCGTTCTTATCGAGGGCTGTGTGTTCAAGTGAAGGGGAAATGGGAGGGCTGAAGTGAGAGGAGGCGAAACGGGGTGGAACGGATAAGGTCTCGCATTATATTAAAATTAGCCCGAGTTTTTGGCGCTCCCTGGCGTAATGAGCGTCGCCAGTCCCACGGCGTTACACACTAGGTGCATTTACACCGGTGAGGGTTTAATGTGGCGTAATTTAAAAAAATTGAGAGAAATGAGGCAGAGGGAAATAGTATCGGTGGTGGTGAGCCAGAGGTGAGTATAAAATCCTTCATTGTTAATTAATTTCTGGGATTTCAATGCGGTGGGATGAGAAAAATGTGACGAGAAAAATATGAAATCGATTTTCAGGTAAATAGATGAGATTTTTTTTTTTCCCTAACTCAGATAGTATAGGTCACTTCACAGATATTTTCATGGGGTTATTTTCGAAATTTGCTTGAGGGGTAAAAATAGTTGCGAGGGTTTATGGGTTTTGCAAGGTAGGGGGAGTGGAAAAGTGTAAAAATATTTTATCGCAAATCAATCTTCCAGACTAGACACAGTGGATAAATAATTCTAAACCGGCAAACGGCAGCTGCGTAACAACTTCCACGCGCTATTTATACGTTTTACCTCGAATAGCCCTGAATCTCAGTGTTGAGCACGAAACATCGTTACTCTGTCTTGTTGTTTTTTCTTCCTCGTGTGAACAGCGAATTATATTTTATTATTTTACACGAGAAATTTTCAATTCTCATGTTGTTTCTATACGGTGAATTTTCTCGTGGATAAATTTGGAAGAGAACGACGGGGAATTGAGGTTTTCAAGTTTGAGATCACAAGATCCTTCAGACAGGTCAAACCCCGATGTCGATGTATTTCGAGAGTCTTCGGTATATCTTATCTTCTTCCCCAACTCAACCCCGATGCATCCCTGAAGACTGAGAATCAGTTAACACCAGCATGTTCAATTTTAATTGAAAAATTCTCGTGTACATCCTATATCCTTGGTCCGAGCATCTTTATTTTGGACTGGGTAAAAAACACGAGGGAGTTATCTCCTCGTGCCACTGGATAAAATGTCAGAATTAAAAGGCACTGGATATGAAAGAGATAATAAATGAGCGATAAGTCAACGTACCTCGTGCAAATCTCTTTTATGTTATTCATTTTTTTTTTCACTGCCGACGACAACGACGGGGGAGACAGGTTGACGGTAAAAATAGTGTGGTGTACCTCGAAGCGGGTCACTAGGCTGCAGTCTCTCGTTTCGCCTTTCGTCTCTCTGGATTAACAAGTCTTGGAGTTAAAAATTATGAGGAGAGTGAGGTTGTTTGTTTTGCCACTGAGAATGAGCGAGAAAATGCCCCACAAAAGATAATTTTCCCGTTATTTCATCCGAAAATCGCAAAATCGTATGGAATTCAATGAAATCGATGTTTAAATTCCATGAGAATTCCGAGATGAATTCTTTAGAGGAATGGGAAATTAATGGTTTGATTGGAAATAAAATGATGAGTTTTGTTTCCGCGCGGAGAATAAATAACTGAATGACTTTTTTCAATTCCACCCCACGCGAATCGTCGGGTGCCACTGGGAATTCGATTCGTCTGCCAAAAGGTGAAACACGAAAAATGAGAGGAAAATAAAAAGGATCGAGGTGAAAAAAGATCAAGTGAGCGATGGAGAAGGCGAGTATTCCCGACTCAACTTGCATCCCCTGAATATTTAGTGGTAGCAGCTCCTCCGGAGTTATTCGACATTATTTATCACCCCCCTCGCGATTTAAAATCCACCATTCATAAAAGTGGTTCATCTGACCCCCGACATTCCCTTAATTCTCTTTCACCGAATTTCTCTCATTCTCCTCGATTCGTTTATCTCATTTCCGTATTCTCTGAGTGAATGAAGAAAAAAGTCGGTCGAGTGTCGAGGAGAACTCCAGCTGATGAAAAGACCAGGTATCGTTTGCGATTCCAGCCACGATGGCTGTTTGAATATTCATCAGGGGGAAAGGATAGGCCCTTCACTCGGATAATTACATAGATCCAAGGAAAACTAATTATTTATTCCTTTGTTAGTGGAACGAAAGGAGGTAAACTACTGAAATTGGGTTGAGAAATTTTCAGAATTTAAGGGCTAGCACCTGAGAATTATGCCAATGGTTTATTTCTTAGAAATCAAATATTGTAATTAATCAACAATTAATTTCACATTTTGACAACACGAATAAGACAAAAAATACAAAATTTACATTTCAATGATTATTGAAATCCTTCCATTCGGCTAGAAAAAAATTTAAAAAATTCCCCATGAGATTACTGAGCAAAATGAGTTTTGAGAAATGGCTTGCTACTGTATTTACGTCGATGGAGGTCCACGCTGGAACTTTTGGTGTTTGTCCATGTGGCTTAATCCAGTATTGGGTAAACAATTGGAACTGGGGTAATTCCGGTTTCATTGCTGGCCGGAAGACTTAATGGCACTCGTAAATAATGATTTAATGTTGTTGGTGGATTGAAATGCTGCAGCTGCGTGAAATATTCTTTCTCGCTGTATATTAATCATTTGTTGCAGCTTTGACCGTGAGGTTCCTGACGAGGAGGTACATCGGCGAGTATGATCATCAGCAAGGTGAGACAAAATAGAGAATGGTGAAATTTCAGTGATATTGAATTCACAAACACGAAATGTCTTTAATCTACTCACTTGTTTTTCTTTTTCGTTCGTTATTTTTTCTTGGACGAATACCTTGAGGTCTCACGTCTGCGCTAAATTAGTCCGACAAATTTGACACGACACAGCTGAAATGTGCGACATTGATTTTTCGAGGAAAATGTGTCAACTTTCGTTAAATGTAGTCGGCAATTTGTTTTTTGTGTCATTTTTTGTCATTCTATGATTCCTTGTACAAAGTAGACATCATAAAAAAAAGTAATGATGAAAAATCTCCGAATTCGTAAGCCTCCAACAAACATAAAAAAGTTCTTCAGAACCCTTAAGGTTCAGCGAGCATTTCCCTTTGTATTGTGAAGTTATTAACTGAAGATATATTTGTGAGTTTTATTTGAAAAACTTGTGAAAATATCTGCTGTATTACCTGAACTGTTCAGCATCTTTTACTTCTAGTATTTGTCCAAGTATTTAGTTTCAAAAGTGTTGTTCTTCAATTCCAGAGAACCGCTACAAGCATGAAGTGTTGGTGGATGGTGAACCGATCCTCTTTGAAATTTTAGACTCCTGTCCCAAGGTAACTTTTTTATAGTAACCGAAAGCTCTCAAGATACTCAGTATCCACTCCTCATTTGCACACTGCGGGAAACACGATGGGAGTGGATGAAAATGACAGATATGTATTCTGGTAATTGAGTTCAAGAGGATCCATTTAATTTTTCAGAGTGACGATGAAATGCCAACGATGGAGACCCTGCAATGGGCCGACGGACTTTTGCTCGTCTATTCAATAACTGACCGTGGTTCCTTCAACTTTGTAAGAAAAGCTAAACAAGCACTCGCTGTCGCTGACCCAGAGGCTGCCATGCCCCTGGCCATGGTTGGCAACAAAGCCGACATGGTACACTTGAGGCAAGTCAGTACTGAGGAGGGTGAAATTTTGGCTAAGGACTTTGAGTGTTGGTTCAGTGAAGTAACAGCTGCTGAACAGGTAACTTTGCCAAAATATATTCCAACTATAATTAACATCCTATCAAATTAAGAAATTCCCTCATTTTCACAGTCAAGACTACACACTCTAAAGTGAACATTTTTCGAGAATTATTTCTAAACCTCCCATCTAATAAGCGGACGAAATGAAGACAACATCTGATTTTCTTCTATTTTAATAATTTTGTTTATTCGATTCCAATAGGCATTTTTTTCCCGTTTTTGGTGTAAACATAATCAATTATTCGACTTGAAGAATTACTTGAAAATAGATTTCTTACTCTTTTCTTTTTCTGCGCAGTATGATCCTTGCGTTTCTTTCTATAAACAAAAATTTGGTTTATTTGATTTTGCAGGTTGCACAAGTGGCTGAATCATTTCACGAACTGTGCCGCGAGGTTCTAGCTGCGCGACGAAGGAATAAACAGTCACTGTTAGATCGAATGCTGGGTAGTAAAGCTACACGTGCCTATTCGCGAGGAAAAAGTGATTCTGCACTTCCTAAAGATTAATCACAGCAAACAATAATCAAAAAATTTCATTTTTATGTACAGGAATAAGATTTTTGTATTGATAGCCTTACGATCACCTATAATTGCCAAAGGATTGATGATTTTTGTATTTGGATTTACAAAGTCTTAATTATTAAGTCCCTGAGATATGAGAAAAACCATATTTATTTTGTACTTATAAATAACTGATTATAAAAATTATATATTTATTTAAACGATTTGAATTGGCTAGGTGAATTAATTTACTCGTGCAGATACGCCCATATATTCATTTGTTCTCGTCGTAGGTCTCCAGTACGTCAGCCAAATGCTCATTGTCTCTGGGTTTTTTGAGATTCTTTCGTTTATTATTTGGTTTCTTTCGTTTTATTGGAGCTGGCTTCTTTGGTCCGTGATCCTGCATCGATCTGATACCTTGTTTCTCCAAGTATTCGTCGATTTTTTGATCATCCATGGCATCCACAGCCACTGCTCGCCAGAGCTTTTGGAATTCCTCGTCTATTGGTAACTGGGCTGTTTTATCGTTGTAAAAGACTATTTTCTTCTTGTCGAGAGGTCGAACTATGAAAAGAATCTCTTGTTGCAAGTGCTGTAATTTTTTTTATAAAATATCTCGTCAAATCATTCTTTTCAATTGTTTTAGAGAGGAATTCAATAGTGACGAGGTAAAAATAAATTATTTTTTTTCCTTCATCAATCATTAATTTTTTTTTTATTTCGATTTCGACTAACCTTCAGAGCTCTGTCGCAGTGAGGCAAACTCTCCTGAATATCATCCAATAATATTCCACCGAGTCCCTTTAAATCCTGTTGTTTCAAAAGTCTCAACAATGATTTCTTGTCCCTAATTTTGTAGGTAGGTCTGAACACAAATTTATTATCGATCACATCGATTTTTGGGTTTTGAATGAGAGCTTCCGATGACAGCCACTGTTTAACCTGAGGATTAATCAGTGAATTAATTACTGATCAGGCTATAATCAATAGGTGGGCTAATAGAGAAGGGAGGAATATAATTATTCGTGATATTTACTTTTGACCCCACGTCTAATTGATTTGTCTCATCTAGAATATCATCCAATGACAGAGGATGATCGTCTCCCTCTTGATGTCTCGTCTTCATATGCTTGACAATTTTAGCTAGTACTCCAAACTTATACTGTGAACTACCCGGCAATGTTTTATAGGTGACTTGGTCGAGTTTGGGGCCACTTGACACCGATGAAACTTTCGGTTTCTTCTTACTCGGTTCATCTCTGCTGGTATCTTTCTCAGGTTCTCTTTTCTTTTTCTCAATTCTGAATCCAATCAAAGTGTAATAAAAATCAATATAATTATTACAATATTGTTAGTATAAAATTATCATTATTACAGTGATCAATATGAAATTCCAATTGAAATGCAATGTAATCGAAGATTTATTTTACAAATAATATATAATATAAATAATATATTATTAATTCTAAACAGGAAGGACAGAAAATGTTGAAAAAAAATAATAATAATGAATTTTTGAAGTAAAACAAATCGTACATTGCAGATGGTTCACGTAAAATTTAGGTTAAAAATTTCTGTCACTCACACAGGTGTCGAAATAGCCCTTTTCTTGAAGAGTTCTCGCTCTCTCAACAGTGCGGGATCCATCTTGTGTTATTCCTGAAGATCTTTAAATCTATGAAACCACAATTGAATACCGATAATAACTGTCAAAACACTACGTTGAAGAGGAAAACCATTGAAAGAAATGAATTGAAAGACTCCTGCAAGTGGCGCCTCTATTGAGAGCTTGTCAAATCGCTGTTGCGCGCATGTGGCGCATGCGTCGCATTCTGTTGTCGAGAAAAACATGAAAAAGTGTCAGACAGGAGAAGACATCCCTTCATCACAGTACTCATTGATAAAAACGTCAATAAAACCCTGAAAAATGGATAAAAAAGCCCAGAAAGCTGTAAATAAAAAAGAACCATTGAGTAGACATCACGAATTGACGAACAAATGGCAATTTTTAGTTGTTTCCAATAGCCATACGTCAATCACAGTATCGCAGGGGTCGTGAAACTTTTGTTCCAGTTTGAAAACAAATTATCCCATCCACCTCTCTCAAGGTAAATTTATTGATATAGCCCATAGACGTGGATTAAAGTAACCAAACACGAATGACCGAAAAATAAAGTACTGGAAGTGAGGGATAACCACCATCTGGTCCAGTTGAATTTCTTTTTTTTTGCCGGGGTTTTATCCCCAATGGAGTGCATCTCCACATTTGTTTGTTCATTTATTTTGAAGGAATATTGTCCCTCACTATTCGGCTACAATAATTTTATTTAACGAGGCCACTAATTAATCGGATAGGGGATGAATGCGAAATGGCAAAATAAATTAATGAATTCATCCAAGTTGTTGTTTGTTGGATGATTTGTTGGATGATATTTGGGATGGTTGACTCGGGAGAGTTTGCCATATCGTTTTCCATGCGTATCCGTAAACTCCAGTACGATGTCTTTCAGAATGCATTAGGGGTAGTGGGTGATGTTGCATTGTTTGCAACGGCAATGATTCAGATAGGTGTACCTCGGGTATACACGTGCTCATGTTTGCATAATGCACAATTGCATACCGATAAAGTGTACTGTATAGTGATCAGCTGGTGGTGGATGTGGGATAGGTTGTGTTGCCGAGCGATTGGCACTTTGGGGAGAATGTGATGGCTCAGGCCCTCTTCACCGTGTAATATCGCTATTGCCTCGTCGCGTTTACTCCATTCATTTGACTTGTTACCGCCATTCTCCAGGATCACCCAAATTATTTGCCCCATTGTTATTCCGCTGTTCATTTATTTTGAGAGCTTGTCGGAGCTAATTTGATCGGCTGTCGAGTCAACACAACCGACAGCTTATCAAATTAGCTTGACGACACATTGAGGTTTTACTCTCATTAAATATGAATTATCGGAATAATTACTACGGGGCAGCCCCCGGTAATATATATGGACACCTGGCGTGAGTTGGACGTGTAGCAAATATTCGGAAAATATTTTGATTTGCAATATTTCATAACTCTTAGGAAAAAAAAATATTGAATACTATATTAATTTATTTATATACTTGAAACAAGTATTGAGAGAAAGTCGAATTTTTTTAAAACCTTTTTTATAGAATGTAAATTGTATATTTTTTGTCGGATTGGAGGACTTGTGTTGATATTCAATGAAAAGAATGGAGTGAAAGGTTAATTCATTTACTTGAATCTAAATGTCAGTATGTGAAAAATAGTTCCGATGGCCCACAAAAATCAAGGAGAAAGATTTCACTCCTTGTTTTATCGCCTCAGTGTTCCAGAAAACTGTACAACGATTTGATGCTCTTTTCACGTCTTTTACGATCAGTTCTCGTATACGAGGATTTTTCTCTGTACGGGCACAAAAAATTGAGAGTAAAAGGAAAAGAAAAAGGGAGTGAAGCCAACGAGTCAAACGATTTTAGCCGATGAAATAAACGGGTTCAACGGGTCGGGATCACGTAGGTAACTGTTTTACAGGAATCGTCCACCTGCGAGTGCAGAACTCCCAATCGGTAGAGGAAGGGTAGCGAAATCGCCGCGAAATCTGGTTCTTTACGATTCTCACATTTGTTTTACAAGCTTTACTTTTATTTTTCACGTACCCATATATTTCTTTTGTTACCCTTTCTTTTCATCCAACATTTAGAAGTAGAAATTTCACAATCGTCTTGTTAAACTTCATTCTATCCTATTTTTCTTTATTCCTGTTCACTCACTCACCCTTTACATTTGGAATTTATTTACTTTATGGGGTTGGAAATCCGAGCGAGAGAAACGTTGTAAAGTTTATTATGGATTAGCCTCGTTACTATAACCGTGGTGAAATCAAGTTTCTCCTCAGGTATGGGAGGAAAGAATTTCTTCGCTGAAGAATTTCTTATTTCCCTTCCATTTTTCTATCCTGGAATTTTTCCCTTTGATGAAAAAGTTTTAATGGCCGGTTAACGAGACGATGATATTTCTTTTTCTTGTCAATGTTTTCTCTTCTTTTTTCGGTATCTGCACACACTCTAGTTTAATTTTTTAATGAATCGTAAAAGGGAGAGAGACTGACAGAGGGTGGGATAATCGAGAAGATTAAGAATTTCAATTTTTTTCACTTGAAATTTAAAGTGTAATTTTGCAACAGCTTAATGCGAATAGTGAGAGTCTAGGCTAGGCGTTGTTTGGGACTTAGCTTTTAAGCGCAAGAGTACCACTCTCTTTAGAGATCAGGTATATGCGTTCGGAAGAATCCTGAATGAGCTAACAGGCCATGGAAATTCGAAACGCTGTATGGAAGAGGGTTGGATGTTCCATAAAGCATCATAAGCACCGAGGAATGCCCCCTCAACCTCGTGTATTCGGAAATAACGTTGCCCTGAAAAACGTTTACTGCTGTAGAGTTATCGTGCGAGAGACATTCGATATTTTTTGGAGCGTGTGATTCAGTTTGAATGATTTTTATTATTCCTCCGTAATGAATGGGATTTGAGGGGTAGAATTATTTCGATTCTTTCCAGAGCAGTCATTGAATTTAATTGTGAGGGGGCCATTTATTTTGAGGAGACAATTTACCTGGATATGAGCTATTAAGGTTTCAATTTATTACACGATTTTCTGTTGATCATTTCCATCATTTCATTTTATTTTTGTACTTGACAATAATTTTGTCAGATGAATGTCAAATCGGGAGATTTTAATGAGAAAAATTGATGGATTTTCACGCATCAGATGTTCTGCTGATAGTTTCCATTGTTCCTTGGTGCAATTTATTTAATTGTGGGTGAAATTGTAGGCGTAATTATTCGTAGATTCATATTTAAGCTTCAGCGACAGTTAAGGGATGAGTTAGAGCCCAGACGACAGTTGGGTTAATAGCTGCAACCGCAGTAGAGAATTTGATGGACCTACTCTCCCCTTCATGGGTTTTCTCGTAGTACACATGCCATTGCAACATTGGACAAGTGTATTTCAGTTGATATATTATTCACAACTACGTATATTAAATGTCATTTTGAAACTTCAATTTTAGGGATTTATTTGCATAGATGTATGGGGCATACCGTTATTGCCCTGAACCTTGATTAAATTTCATATCGACATTTTCAGTTATTAATGTTTGTCAAGGTGGTTTGTACTATCAGTTTCAAGCTCGAGATTTGTTACCAAACTATGAAGTATTATTTTCCGATACAACTGACCTATTTAAATAATTTCAGTTAATGATTAAGTGGCGAAAAGTTTCTGACCTCTTTAGCGACTAAAATTCATTTTCACAATGTGCCAGTTGGACAATCGTAGTCGAATCATTTGCAATGAAGATCGTACACGAATAATTCCATTGGAATTTACGAGCCAACTTTCACGAGTAAATCAAATTTTATTTCTACTCAACTTCGAAACAAAAACACTTTCCAAAATTTGAGGGTGGAGAATTCAATTGTCGGGGTTGGAGAGAATACAAATTGAATCATCAGAACGTGTCATGAAAAAAATTGAGGGAAAATTGTTTGGTTAATTGACCAAGAAAATTGAGTTATCCTCCCCCTGCTCTAACAGAAATACCAAATAATTTTGGCTCGGGTGGAAGGGGGTAGTAAATAATGCGGTAAATGTCTACAACCAACATAAAAACATATATAATAATTGTTGTCTTCGCAGTTTTGGTAGCTCCTAAATTACCCAATAATAGGTCGAAAGCATAACTTATTATTTCCAAACACCAATTACTAATTATATGTGAAATATTGGATTCATAATTGCAAATGTAAATATACATAGGCATACGCGCCGAGTATATTTGCATAATCCATATACCCATATTATTAATATATAATCGACATATATGTTATACATAATTATTACCTTTTGTTGATGGCACGGGAAAACAAGATGAAGGTACTTGAAGAGGGTGATGACAGACCAAGTGAAATAATGTACCATATTTGAATTGCAGGGAACAATCCAGAAGTACGGGAGAGTACGGGAGGATGCGTGTCCAAATGGTGAATCAAGGTGTAGAGACAACGGCATCAGCATGAGACGTTACGATAGAAAAGTGTACCGAGGCCACATAACCCCATCCCTCTGGGGCACGGGGTTGTCGCGTGACGTAACATGCGCGTTAACCGTACGCTTTCCACCCTTAGCGGGAAAGAAATGAGGGGGAAATGCCGGAGTCGGCGCGTGATAGTGGGAAAACCTGGGGGGG